ACCAGAGGGGCGCTCCTTCAGTTCCTTTTGGGTTGCGAACACGCAGGGGAGTGTCGACGTCTGAGGATCAACCACAGCACGATGCTAGTGATCTGCTGCCGGCTTACCTTCGTTACCTGGTTCATTTAAGGTAATAGCTCATCTTCCTGTGACTCATTCGGACCCGTTCTTTTTAAGAGTTCTCCGGTGACAAGTGTATGTGTATGCCGCAGCGTACAGGCCTTACCTGTAGATGCCCGCATGCATGCTGCGCCTATAGCCCCGCCCCTACGGTGTGCTAGTTCTGTTTGCTCTATTTGACGAAGGCGTTGACGACCACCTTGAGGTCAGCGAGGTCACACACACAACGTGCTAGTAGCGCTGGATAGACTTTGTTTGTCCGGCAATTGAACTAACTCGCGCCTGTCGGTGTAGTATTTTAGCATAAACGCTTGCATGTAGGTCCGTTGTTTTACCAGCAGCTTTCGTTTATTGCCCCCTAACACCGACTTTTTTTTCAAAAAAAGTTATCCAATCCCGCGTTCCTGGGGTATTTTGGACAGTGGTACTATCATTTGGTCAAGGAACTCAAAACTAGCATTGCCTGCAAAGAAAAAAAGAAGACTGGAATGGCCATTTCTGGCTCACTAACCGTCATCAGCCAATCAACTCAACTCCACGTGGTGCACCACCCGAGGCTCGAACCCGCGACCTGTTGATCAGAAGTCCAACGCCTTGACCACTGGGTCACGGGCTCTTTTTCTTGCTGGTTTAGATGGGGAGTAGTAAAGCTCGTTGATGAACGCTCACCGATCGCTAACGGCGCTCACTCGTCCCGCTCTGCCTTGGGCTCACTCGAGCCCCAGCAGCAGCCGCATAGCGGCACATTGGTGCGCCAATCACCACCATCTATGAGGAATGCAGGACCTGTTATTTCTGATAGGCATCTGGTGCATCTGTGCTTCCGCCATTTCTGTCGACTGCCGTTTCTGATGATCGGACCAAGCGTGAATGCGAGGCTCGGGTAAATACTACTTTTGCAATAGCAGGCAGGTTTTTCTCCTTACTGGTCGCTGCGGATTTTGGCAAAGTGGAGGTACTTTCGCCATAGTGTTGATGCTTGTTTGTGATCCTTCCCCAATCAGCCTCGAAACTACTTTATTCAGAATTCAGCCTGCTTGTTGTATACATTCGGGCGTTCTGTTTTACTTGGGCACCAAGTTTTAGCAAACGATTGTCTTTCTACTGTAATCAATGAAACGAAATGTTAACGGCATTTATTTGAGAACTTGGGAGTGTCTAGGACTCTTAGACTGATCTCAAGCCATTAACGACTGTGGATAACAAGATTTGGGGAAGCCGAAGTTCTCCTGTTTGGTTTTTATTTACATAAACTTCGTTGCACTTAGAAAGAAGACCTTCAGACTAAATGGCTGTCCAAGAATGTCAAATTTGACCTTCCAAGGTTTTTGTTTCATGCTTATTAAATTCAGTCTTTCACCCTGCCTCAGCCTTTTGAATCGTGAATCCTATTCCCTATTCCTTTTATTGAAAAAGACGGGCTCAGTGCACACTTTATTTGAATTTGAACTGTTGTATGCAACGTCGGATAAGCCAAACGACGAGAATAAGTTATATGACCTCCCGCAGGACATAGGGATTAGGGTTCCCAAGCAGCACGCCTTCACGTTGGTGGAACCGACTGTACCCAT